ACGGCGCGGCCGACGGTGATGCACGGACCAAGTCAGCTCGAGCGCAGCCAAAGGCACCAGCCGGTAAGAAGAGGAGACGGGTGGATGATGATGACGATGAGATCACATCGGAAGACTTTGGCAACGCGGACGCGGAAGACGCTAAAAACGGAGAGCCATCAGGGAAGGCAGATGGGGAACAGGCCGAGACAGCTTCTGAAAATGCAGAATCAGAGTCGGAAGTGGATGACGATGCTGAAGTTGCTAGCTCCGCTGGCAGTGAAGACGGCGAGGCCCCTGCGACAGCGGAGAACGAGACCGGTCGATATGTTCCCCCACACTTGCGCGGCAAAAGGCAGCGAGACGGTTTGCAAGAGCAGCACCTTCGCCAACTGAGACTTACTGGTGCTTAGCAGATGATATGTAATCCTGTCAGAAATCTCTATATGTTACTGTACTATATTCCTTTATTCCCTGTATCGCAATATATAACCCCCATATAACCCTACATCACCCCGATATTCCCTTAATATATTCCCCTATTGCCTTATTCCCTAATAAGCTCCAGTAAGGAGAGGCATCATGAAGCTTGGCTGACTTGAGGCCGGGAGGCTAAGGTTTAGGGTTTAGGGTTTAGGGTCAGCCCATGGAGAATCGAATGGAAAAGAAAACGGAAAATGAAACGGACAGGTTTTTACATGCACATGCAAGAAGCTGGGAGTATGTAATTTCTGTATGTATATATATATGTATATAATATATATAACACCCGAATAATGGCAATTCAAGCTGAAAAGATCATGGGAAATGAAATGGGCGCCGTGATCCTCATTTGGTAGGTTCCCTGTTTTACTTTTGCATCAGCTGTTGAATGACTGCTGCGGGCTTAAATCAATTGGTTAGTGTTCCATGTCACAAGATTAAATTCTGCCACCTAAACGACCTCGTCATCGTAGCGTGCGCCAGCACGTCCGGGATAGGGCCGGAAGGCTCTCAGGACTGCCGGCTTGGAGGCCAGGCCAGGGCTCCCTGCCCTTGCACTGTCACCTGTGCAGGGTTCGGGTTCAGGCAAGGGTACATGTGTCCTTCTTCGCCGAGGCAGCATGCTTGTCGGCGCCTAGTGGTGTGCTCGCAAGGAGTGGGAGGCCAGGCCCACACCCATGCGTCAAAACGCCAAAGCACAGGGAGGAAGTGCCCACCCTTCCCCCCGGAGCGTTGTTTTCCCCACTTGCAAGCGTTGTTTTCCCCACTGCCTTGCAATGAACAAAATGTGGATCCTCGCCAGACAGCACGCTCGCACCGAGCTGCTGGCGTGTCTCACGGATGGGGAGGCGAGGGCCCTATCCATTTGTGAAATCGCCCAAACCTGGGCAGGGGCTGGAATCTGCCCAGTTGCCACCTGTTTCGGGATATCCACCCCCCCCCGGAATCGTGTTTTTCCCAGGCGCCCCGTGCGACGATGACAAAACATGCGGAGCCTACTTGCCTCCAATTTTTTCCAAGTTTGCGTTGCCGTTGCCAAGAGGGTGGTTTCGTGAGTCGCGAAGGGCGTACCCCAAACCGTGGACTGCACGCACACGTGCATATGCACATGTTTACTAATACGGGGCGTGCACACGTGCATATGCACATGTTTACTAATACGGGAAGTGTACGTAGCATTTCTTGAGGGGCAGTAGCATGGTCCTACGCTCCGGGTGCTGGCGTGCCTCATGGATGGGCATGGGAGGGGCCCATCCATTTCTGAGACTGCCAAAAACTTCCCTGCAGCTCCGAGGCCTTCACTTGTCACCTGCCTTGGGACGCCGCCCTCCACCCCCCCGCAACTCCTATTGCCCCCAATGCCTTGTTGACAACAAAAAACAGCGCAGCCTCCCTGGCCTTCCCGTGTTCCAAGTTTACGTTACCAATGTGGTGTTTCTGCGAGGTGCCCAGGGAGCACCCAAAAACGCGGATTATGTCTGTGCTTGTAATCATTCAAATTCAAATTCCAAGCTTCAATTTTTATGTTCCAAGATTAAGTACCAAATCTAAACTTGGAAAGTAGGAAACTTGGAACATCGACACTTTCGGTTTACATCTGTGCGTGGTGTCTAGCGCTGTGCACGTTCCGAGTTTCTAGCGGTCACTATCTGGTAGTTTCCCAAAATAAGGGTACCCCAATATAGACCCCAAAATACTATAATCCTGAGTATGGGGACCCCAAAAAAGTACACCTACTTTTGGGAAACCCTAAACCTTTAGTAGTTTCCGATTTTTTCCATTATATATAACCCCCATATAAACCCTATATAACCCCTATAGTAGTCCCGTAAATATTCCCCTACATAAACCCCCCCCCGCAAGGAGTTTAGACTATAGGTCATATACAGTCAGCCAAGGAATCGAGTCTCGGAGGGCAACCTGGATCCCAGCTGCAATGAGCTGGTGCAGCTGCTGAGCAAGCTGGTGCCTACTGTGGGTTCCAGCAAAGCAGCAGATGAGTCCCAGTTGCTGTTACCATGCTCAGTTGGGAATAGGGGAATGAGCTGCAGGGATTCTTATGGTTGGGGGGTACAATACCCCCCCAGAATGTTTAGGGTTTGGGGTTCGGGTAGCAGGGTTGAGCGTGAGTTGTACCTGTAGGATCCAGGGCTTCTGGTAAATAACCCCAGACCCTAAACAGCTTGCCTGGCAGACTCCTATGGACCCATCAAAGCTGCGTAGTATGAAACACCATATAACCCCAGTTTCCATTTCATTGTTTCCAATTTGATTCTTCATTATTAGGCGCCATCTCATCCTTACTTACACCTTCAATTAGAGTTCTGGGTTCTGAATTCTGATATGGGAGATTGGCCTCAGGTTGCGTTTGATGCATACCCCGATGCAGACTCTTCGTCCCATCCCCAAGGGAACCTTTTGGAGACTGCCACATAAGTTTGTGGAGCCCACGATCCTACCACGGTTGGATCTATAGATTTAGGTCTCTGGGTTTTGAGCTTCATGTTTTGTTTACAGTTTAAGTTCAGGGGGATGAGGGCGCAGGGCTCAGGGCTTGGGTTTCGGGCTTAGAGCTTGCTGTTTGTATGATATGCAGGATCTTCGCTGAGGGTCTCAAAGCCAGCCTTTTTGATAAGCATCCTTGTATCCCTGATGGATCATCCCCCTAGTCTCCAAAGCAGGCCGTTCCTATACGTATCTGTGCATCCTAAAGCATCGAGAAGAGCTCTGTGTATATTCTTGTCATGCCTTCGCATACTGCATACATAATCCCTACATACCCGGGGGCAAAATCTGGCAACAAGCGACCCAAACCCTAAGCCAGGGCTACACGTCCTGAAGGTCTTGGAGTTGCTGAAAATTGCACCCTAAAACCCCAACTCCAACTCAATCGTCGTTGCATGCCGTAACACCGACCCAGGAATTTGCGGACGCTCTGCTGCAGGCGGCGGTGGGCGATCCAAACATTTCCGTGCTGGCCTCTGGGTTGGCTTAGAGAAGGTTTTCGGTTCCATTGTTGAGTGTGATGCTGTCGTTATATAAGACCCTTAAACCAACAGTCAGTCAGATAGAATCGGCTCCCAAACCCCAGAAATTCTGAGCCAGAAGCCCTAGATATTCCTATACCCTAACCTTTTAAAGAGACCTACTGCAGGATTAGACCTCAACAGTTCTTCAGGCCCCTGCCCCTTTAACCCAAGAGAGAGACGGGATGAATCAATGTGGGAGTTTCCCAAAATTATGGATAAGATTTTAAAAGGGTCCCCATTATGAGGAATATAGTATTTGGGGGTCTACCTGGGGGGTTCCCTGATTTGTGGAAACTGCCATGTAGCCCCTTCAACAGATCCGACAAGATTCTGGCACCCATAGGGTTCGGGGTTTAGGGGTTTAGAGTTCAGGGTTTAGGGGTTTAGGGGTTAGAGGCAAAGCCTTGAATCCTGAAACGGTAAGACCTTAATTAAACCTTACATCTTGACGCCCTCAATTCTGTAATTTTCTTCGGAAGGATTTTCATACTTCTTTATAGTATAACACTCAGGAAGTACGAACAAAACATCTGATTATAGTCTGGGGGCAGCCCCTAAACCCTAAATCTGAAGCACTGAACCCTAGAATTCTAAACCCCATATACACCCAAAAAGCCTAAAACCCGAAATCCTAAACCCCTAAATCCCAAATAGCCTAAAAACCCTAAACCCTAAACCCTTGCAGTAAGACCCTAAAACCCTAAACCCCTAGAAGTTGGAGGTCCTGGGCTGCTTTGCAGCCCTGGTGGCGGCCTGCCAGGTGCTTCTGGGACCTGCTTTTGGAGCCGCTGCCTCTGGGCTGCGGTTTAGAGTTTGGGTTTTGGGGTGCAAGGTTTAGGGTGTTTAGGGTTTAGGATGTAGGGTTTAGGGATTAGCGTGTAGGGTTTAGGGTTCAGGGGTGTATCGTTTAGGGTTTATAGGGTTTTAGGCCTTTTGTGGTTTAGGGTTTAGGGTTTGGTCTAAAAGTCCCTAAAAGGGTTCTGTAGCGGATTGTATAATATAGGGCTTGGGCAAGTTCAGGGTTGAGGGTTTGGGATGTAGGCTTTAGGGTTTAGGGATGTAGGGTTCGGGGTTCAGCATCTCGGGTTGGTTTGGGATTTAGGGTTCAGACTCAGAATGTGGGGCATACCAGGAATTGTGGTGTAAGTTCTGGGGCTGTGTCTGATTATGATGCACTTGCGGGCCCTAAGGGCAGAGAACTTGCGCGAAGTTACAAGGGATAACGGCTTATCGTGGAGTTTTCAGAACAGAGGTCTTTATAGCTCCCACAAAAAGAATTATTGCGGGGGGGGGGGCTAACCCACCCCTGCAGGCAGAAAGGAGCGCGATAAACAGAACACAGCTAAACCTTCAAACCTTACCCCTAAAGTGTGAACCCCTAGACCCTATACGACTAAACCCTAAACCCCCACTACCCTGAAGCCTTACCCCTAACATCCCCTAACCTAAGCTTAAGTTTAGGTTATTGATTCCTCAAAAGCAACCCAGGCCTTACTGAAGAGTGCCGAGATGCTGAGGGGGAAGATGGCTGCAGGTTTAGAAGCAGCAGGGAGCATGGATGACGAGGCTGTAGGGTTTAGGAATGAGAGTTGGGGGACTAGGGTTTAGGGATTCGGGTCTAGGGTTTTAAGGATCAGGGATGAGAGTTTAGGGTTGAGAGTTGAAGGTCAGGCTTGAGAGTTTAAGGTTCAGGGTGTAGAGTTGGGGGTCTGGGGGGTGATATGGAATTTAGGGTTTGGGGAAGTTTAGGGTTGTGGGTTGGGTGGTTCCTACCACGCAACATTATCTACAATCAGATCTTAGAGCAGATCTTGCATTCCCTTGGAGTGGTCTATTGAAACAAGAACCTTGGGTGCTGCCCCCCCTCAGTAACAGTTGGATACTAATTATAATATGCTTACATATAGCCCTTAATAGGACCCCTGATATAGATTGTTACTGGGGGGGCAGTACCCAGCAAGAGCCCTTTGCGAGGAGGTCCTGAATCTGGATGCTCGCGTTGCCAAGAACAGCATCATCTTCCAAATGCTCCTCTTTAGCTTCGGAGTTCTACCAGGCCTTCTTTCTGAAAATTGTGAATCTTTCCTTGGGCGGCCAGTGTCATTTTGGGGCCCTGGCCCTGAGAAACTGAACTTCGGTGTGTGGTCGCAGCATGCAATCCTGAATACTATTCCCGTCGCTGGCCCATAGTCTCTACACAACCTATGTTGCCCAAATTTGGGGCTCTGGCCTCTCAATAGCAAGTTAATAGGGCCTCAACATACCTACAATTGGACCTACAATGGTCTTTTGTGGTACCAATTACCCAGGCAGCGTGGTTTTCGACGTGGTGCGCTTTGTGTCTGGGTTGCTACTAAGGAACTTGAATTAAGATACCATAATGGATATATATATATAGTAACATGGTTTCTCAAGTGTAGTAACTTAAATAATTCCTTAACCGCAACCCAGGTGTTCACCGGATCCGCTTCAGAGTTGTCGGTCGAGATGGCTCCGCAGCTGTATGTTAACTCTCTGCTAGCGTAACATAAAACTCCACATAGACATGCGTAAGCTGCTGTCAATATGAGGCTTACCCAGGGACCATTAAGGGTGGACATAGGGGTCCCTTTAGTAATTAGATGTAATTAGTTTATTGGTATGTTGACTCCTAGCCCTTCCAAAAAGGGTATTTGCCTATAAGCGCATCCTTTTTCCGCTTCCTTTCTGTGTAGGGGAGTGCATGTTTTTGCTTGTTCGGTTTCTGCATTACTGCTAAACAGATTCTTGGCGTAGGCGGGGTCCTCATACTCCCGTGAAACAAAGAAGCCCCCAAAATTGGGAGATGCCAGCGCTACTGAACAAAACCCTGCATCCCAATACCCTCAAGTCCAAACCCCATCCCGCTAAAGCCTAAACCCTAAACCGAACACCCCTAAACCAAAAGTTGCCTTAGACCTTATATCTGAGACCCTAACCACGGGCCCATGAGGTTTGCACGTCATGGGTAAACCAGGACTCCAAGATAAAGGCCCCATGCCTGGGACCCGCGGCCCACGGCACGAATTTCAGACTACAAACTTACCTCCGGTCAGCCAGGAGTGAAGGAGTGGATTCTTATAGGAATCCCTGTAAAACCAGTGAATACAATGATGATATTCAGTTTGTTTGTTCATTCCCTGCTGATCAGAGGTAAGTGATTGAAGGCCCTTCGAGCCACTGCCTCGGGTTTGATGAATAAAGAAAACGGAGCAGGAAATGGACCTTGGGCATTTGTTCAAGCTTGCAGGCAGTCACAGGGACAAAAAAAAGGTTCAGGGATTAGGGTACCAAAGATGGGGAATCAAAGCGGAAAGAAGATGGAACATGAAATAGGAACCAGGTTACATAGGAGAGGATACTTCCACTGCCTGCCTTATGCCGCATGCTTTGGCGTTCAGACCCCTTCATCCCCTCCTAATTCGAGTTTGATGTGGGTGTTTGTTCTGCGAAGGCACAGCGAAGCACTACACGCTAAACAGCTTACTTGTCCTTTCATTGGTTAGTCGGCTAGTGCAAAGCCCAGGCTCTTACTATCCTGCGATATGGTGGCCGGAAGTTGCGGTCAGAATGCCCGGAGGACTTCCGAGAAGTCTTGAAGTTTGTCACGGCGGAGGCCAGAATGCTCATTCTACGGGTAGCTCTACCCCTTAGTCTCAGAGGGTAGGAAAGTATGTTCCGATCTTGTGAGGGGGTTACATGTGCCCCCAATTCATTACTTATGGCCACGAAATGGGCCGCCTGAAACGACCAGCCTAGACGAGGCGAACACTGCCAGGGAGACCTCTGCTGATGGTTCAGAGATCAAGTCGCGCTTGGATTACTTACTCCGAGAACTGGCCGATCTCAAGAACAACAAGGTCTCCTTCTCTGTCATGGACCGATTCAAGCAAACGCACGGATGGTTATCAACAGCAGGAGTCCTGGGAGGCAAGAAGGTCGAGAACCATTCTCTGTCAGTTCCTTTCCGTTTGCTGCAAGAGGAGGCCCCACCAAATTGGCCACTGCAAGGAGGGTCAGCAACCATCTTGGCCAAATCCACGCGGACCAAGGCCTCCGACCCCTTGAGGGAAGCGGCAATCACGCAACGTTTGACGTCCGAGCTGCGCCAGAATCTCTTTGTTGCTCTGATGGGAGCCGAGGACTTTCAGGATGCAGCTGAGCGTCTGTCTCTGGCAGCCTCTGCAGCAAAGTCTGGCTGTGCTGAGTGCTGCATCGTTCTCTTTCACTGCGCTGTTCGGGAGAAGGCGCCTAATGCATTCTACGGCCACGTTGCAAATGCCCTGTGCAGCCTTCCGGCACCTGCTGGAAAGCGGTTTTCTCATGGTATGAAGAGAGCAGCGGTCCAGCACGTTCAGCAAGCACACACCTACGGAGTGCGTTCCGCAGTGTGCTTGGCAGAGTTATGCGCAGCACTGATGGCTTCTAGCAGCGTCATGCTTCCAGTCGCAATTATTCGCTTCATGCGGTTCGGTGGAGAGGAAGGCGGGAGTGGGAGCCAGGGCCTGCGGGGTGTTCTTGGGCTTCTGCTACGTCACATGGTGGAGTCACTGCTCCAACAGGTGCCGGCATCCCAGGTGTCGCAACTCTTCGCGGCGATCCGAAAGTATGAGGATGTTCGGGAAGGGATGCTGCTGATTTTGGATGGGCATGTGCGTCCCAGGCTACCTCCGGAGGCACGGAATCCAATTGTTTGGGAAAAGTTCCGAGCAGCGCGAAAGGAGGTTGTTTCCCGATCATCCATGGACCAGTGAGCCACAGCCAAAGTCAGCTGATTGCGTCCACGTGGGTCCGCAGTTGTTGCAAAAGTGCATGGCTTACATGATGACAAAGCAAGCTATCGGCAATTGCAGGGTCAAATACGAACACCCCATGTCAGGTAGTATAGGGCGTTTACAAAGTCCCTATGATGACGCCCATTGTCATTCAGGGGCATGATGACTGACAGACCCTTTGAGAAACAACCACATGCGTGTTCCGAAGTGGAAGTTTCGGACCACCGTCTTGTAGAAACCAGAACAGGGACCATTGTAGTCCCGTTGGTTCCAGGCCCCCGATGCGAGAAACCGCCAAATGTACCCTAGGTTTTTAATGCTCATACCCCAGAATCTACCCCAACATACTATACTCTTGGGCTCCCAGTTGAAGTGGTAGAACACTGGGCTATGTTTTAGGTATACCGAACCCAGAACCCATTTTTTTTAGGTAGCTGGAGCCTTAGTAGAGACAATTGGAGTCCTAACTTTAGGTATCTAAACCCTATATAAGTGCAGTCCATATAGGTATCCGCAAAATGGGACCCCCCAATTTTTGCTAAGCTCGGCACCGGCCGTGGTTGCACGCAGCCG